TTTATTTTATTATACGACTTATTAATTTAAAGTTTAAGTTTTAGTTTCCTCCCTCTCTCTCTCTCTCTCTCTCTCTCTCATTATTCCAAATTTAAATTCATTTCTATTTAATAAAATCTTATGTTAAACGAAAATTCGTTAACTCTAGTTATATACGGTAATCAAAGGGACTAATTAAGATAATCTGTGGAACGTTTCAAACTCATTTCGATCGATCGATTCGATCGGGATCAAAGTTTCACGAACAAAAACATGACCTCGTTTCTTTCTAAAGTCACCCTCGCGACTAAATATTTCGTAGGCGTGGTGCAGCGTCGAACGAAATGATAAATCACGGACTAGGCGAGGGGAGACGTAGCGACGGGGGGGAGGGGGGGGAGGCTCGCGAGAAAGTTGGAGAAACGCGGAATTTATAGACACTCTCGAAAGAGAGCTTTCGTCCGTCACAACAAACACGTCGCGGTATATCCAACACTACCATCTATCACGCGCACCTCCGCGCGCGAGAAAGAGAGGGGGAGGGGAGAGGAAGGGAGAGAGAGAGAGATTGAGAAAGAGAGAAATTCGCATTAAGGCTGGTTGCACACAGGACGCGGCAAAGCGGTACCGCGACACGCGGTAGCCAATCACCGTCTTGTTTTTTGATATGTGATGAAGTTATATATCAAAAAACAAGACGGTGATTGGCTACCGCATTGCCGCGTTGCCTAACTCGCATCGCGAAATAATTGGAGATATTAATTTAGTTCGCGCGCGGAAATGTCAACTCGTGGTAACTTCGTTAGCAGCTACAAATTTAATCATGCAATCGATACGCACCCGTTGAATCGAAGAAGAAAACAGATTTCATCTCTCGTTCGAGCGATTTGGGACCCTTGTGATTCGAACGTCGGAGGAAACATTTTAAAAACCGCGTTTCTCTTGGCTTCTTTCACCCGCGCTGCGCTCGCTTCTGCTTCCTTAGTCAGGAATGTATTTTTTACACGCTGCTCCGTGTGTCAGGGTACCTCTATTTTTGGTCGCGTCGTAATTCTCATCGCTGATTTTTCATTTTCAACTTCTGAGTTACAAAAGCTCGAAAAATGTCAATACATTGCTTTTTTTCCCGACGCAACATTTCGTGCCACGACTATTTCTGGACGGTAAACTATCACTTTGTACGGTTATTTATTATTTACTAATTATTATTATTATTTTCAAATACTTTTTAATAATTCTATTTTAAATCCATGATAATACACAGTATAAATAGCTTTTTAAATATCTTGTATAATATCTTATATAATAATCAAGTTATATATCTTTATAAATATAATTTATAAAAGTATAATTAATAATTAATTAATGAATTATATTTATAAAAGTATAATTTTATATAAAAGTATAATAATATCGCTGTAGAAACCGTTTTTTAGAATTATTATATCAAAACAATGTTCTGTGTGTGTTTGAGCCATAATGCACGTTGCAATTAAAACATTTGTTTCCATGCAGTTATTCATTGATTTTTATTATTTATATAAATAAATTTTTACAAATAAATATTGCGATTGTAGAAAATAAAAAATGATATAAAGTAATTACATAAAACTTCGTAAAACACTTATAAAACACTTATAAATGTAATTATATACACTATGCGAAATCAATCTTATGAGATCTGAGAGATTCAACAATAAATTGTTTTTTAATATTAAGATGATAAATAATGATATAATTTTTAGAGTACTTTTATTCCGTAGAAATTATTATATTTTTTTCTGTATATCTTTTTGCGTTACACTCTCTCTCTCTCTCTCTCTCTCTCTCTCATAAATCGCACACTCGTATTCCTCATTCTTACACGAATTTCACAGTACGCAGGGAAGTCTTCCGTTTCATCTCCTCATGTCCCTTCCTCCGCCACCTGACCTATCTATTTTCTCGACTTCGTCCTCCTCTTCTCCGTGGGTGGAGACAAAGTGATAGCAGGGGACCAGTCATACTCGCCGTCGGAGGCGGGGTCCCTCCATGACACGATGAGCGATCGCGCCGGAGGATCGCTTCTTCTTAGACGGGTAGTAACATTCGGAGAGGATAGAAGAGTGAGCAAAAGACAGGGGAGGAAGGGAAGAGACGCCAATGTGTGCCGATATCAATTGTGACGTACGAGCTATAAACGAGAAGAACGCTCGAGTTAGGTTTTCACTCGAGTTTTGCGTTTAAATTTTCACTTCACCGCCATTCTTCTCGCCGATTCTTCGCCTTTTCGATTGCCGTCCGGATCTGTTTTCATTGTTTTCGTTTCGGTGATCTCGATCTACGCGGCCTCCCGCGCCGCTCGATCGAACCGACGAACCGATCGAATCGCGCATCATTCGTCGCGTATCGCAAACACGTGCGTCGTGCCCACGGTACGTGGCCCACGCGCATTGGCGTATCCGGATGGTGAACGGTGGATGGGTGCCGACAATCGCGGCGGCTCAGTGCTTCGTATCTGGCAACAGGCCGGGACCAAGCGGCCCGTGTCAGTTCGCGCGCGAGGACGCTTCGACGTTGTCCGATGTCCTGAAACGAACGCGGTGAACGCGGGCGGAGACGGTATGCGCGGTGCGGCGACGGGGCCGCAACCGGCGCCGGCGCCGACGTCGACGCTGCAGCGGGCGTCCCAGTGCGTTGTCACAACGGCGCAGACGGGTTACTACCTCGTGCACGGCAGCAATGGTATTCAGGGGGGCAACGACGGCACCGGTGTCGTCGGCGCGGTGGCGCACGGTGCCGACGGCAATTCCGGCAGCAACTCGCCGGTGACGCGCTACGACAGCTTCACGCCACCCGCGTCACATCTGATGGATCTGAGCGGACCGCCGAGTCAGCAGCAACTGCAACAATCGCACCGCCTGTCGCTCGACTATCAACAGATGCACAATCAGATCGCGGTCGGGTTTCCCGAGATGTCTCATTTACTTTACAAGGAGCAGCCACGGTACCACCACCATCCCCACCATCATCCCCAGCAACCTCAGGATCCTCATCTAGACGCTAAGATGATACGGGATTTTCCGTTGGAGTACGATCGGCGGCTCCAGTCGACCGACAACTCGCCCGAGTTCCTATCGGATTATAGCAGAGACCACGAGCAGCAGAATCTGTGTCTGACACCGTCCTCACAGAGCGTGTACTCGCCCACCGGCTGCGGTGCCGACGAGCTCGCTACTCCCGGCTCCGGCCAGTCGGTCCAGGGCCAAACGGGACTTACCATCACGTGGAAGTGACGGAGTACAAGCCGAATGTGATCGAAAACGGTATAATCGACCATGTCGCGGGGTACGACTGCAAGCAAGCCGTTGAGCTCAGTCACGTGACCGAACCGTCGTCGTCGACGACGGTGAAGGGTTACGACAACGTGGAGGGCGGTCACGTTAGGACGAGCGTCAAGAGGAAAAGGCGGCATAGCGGCAACAACAACAGCAACAGCAGCAGCAGCAACGGCTGCTGCAACAGCAACACCGAGTCCGACGGCGAGGCCACGGCGGCCTCGAGCACAAGGACGAAGATTCGCCGTAAGAACGATCAGGAACTTCAAAATCAGAGGGCAATGGCGAACGTTCGAGAGCGTCAACGTACGCAAAGTTTAAATGAGGCGTTCTCGGCGCTCAGAAGAATCATACCGACCTTGCCGAGCGACAAGCTCAGCAAAATCCAGACCCTCAAGCTGGCCGCCAGATACATCGACTTTCTGTTCCACGTGCTCAAGACCAGCACGGATAACGTCGAGTGCAGCGAGAACTCAGGTAATTTCGACGAGTGTAACGTTCACGGTGAATACCCCCCCCCCCGCCGTCACGCGGGGGTGCTCATACTACCAACACCTCGGGGAATAAATCTGCGCGTGAAAAGTGAAAAGTAAAAGTTGTTCGAACGAGTCGGTATGGAAGACTTCGACGAGAATGTCCAAAAAGTGTTCACATTTCGCGTTTCAAAACACGCTGTGTTTTGGCTTGATTTCGTTGTGTTGCAAGTACAATGTCGCTATCTATGAAACGAAAAGTTTATATTTCAAATCGCATCAAATCAATTTTCCCTCTGCTTTTCTTCTCCCACCCCATCGTGCAAATGATTAAATATTTATTTATATAAAAAAAGGACTCGCGCTGATTTAACATTTTAATATCGTAAAAAAAAATAAATCTCCAGGCAATATTTTTAGCTGAGTAAAACTTGTATATTCTTCCCTCGTTTTGCCAAATTTGTAAACGAAAATATTATCGCGCGCGTGACATAAAATACGAGTGTAGAGGGGAGGGGAAGAGAAAATTAAAAATAAGGGAATCGTTTGGTACCGACGTGTTAAGAGTACCGTGGTCCGTGAATTGTGCTTGTTTTCAGTGCATAGATATCCCGTATAAATCGAGTCTCGCCATCTTGCATCAAAGGGATGCTGCAAGGTTACGCTACCGACTGCACGTTGTTCGGAGAGACGCTCGAGGATTGTTTCCGTCGGCACTTTCTAGGGTGGTAGGTACGTGTTTACAATGGGCCCCTGGTGCAGCGTAATTAAACAGACTGCCATATCGGAGGATTTCCCTGTAATTTACACGAGGCCGCGACGAGCACTTACCGAATACGAGCATCGCTGTTACTGAAGTGCCTCTAAGGAGCTCGCTCCTCGTATCGCGCGCGTCTGCGATTCACTGCTTTCATAATATTTATGGGCTGGCGAGGATTAAAATCCCTCCACCCCCACACCTCACCCCCTACGGATCCCCGCGTGGATCTTAATTTTTAACGACTGAAATAACAAACAGACGTAACATTTAACAACGCACTTATCCGCTGGAACTTGTGGACCGATCTCCGCTCGCGATAAACATTCAACAACGACACCGAACAACGAAAAAGAAAGACACTCGGAAAGACTAAATGAAAATGGGATCAACGTGTATCAACGATGAAGAGGCGATCGCGATTGTTAAAAAATTTCACGTAGAAATTGGGATCGGAATGAATGATGCGTGTAACGATTGAAATTTTATCCAGCTGTCGGATGCTCACAAATCTTCCAGTTCGTTCTTATCTCCGAGTGACATAAACCATCCGACACACGCCAGATAAAACTCGTCCTAACTAACGATATCGGGATTCTTGAATCCCGTTGGCCCGTCATTTGGAGTTCTCGCGACAAATTCGCGAGAGGGAAATATATATATATATATACGCTATGCGTTTCTTTTATTCGCAGCTTTCTCCGGTTTTCTTCTCCTGCGGTGCACGATACCGTCGTAATTCCGCCGCTTCCCTTTTATTTTGGCGCTCGCATTATACGCGGACAGAATTATCGTGTAGCGGTCCCCTCTTCTTTCCCTTCGATTTCTTTCGCCGACTCTTCTTAGCTCTTGGCTCTTGTATTTCTTTGTCGAAATAAGACGAGACTTCGAAACTCTTCGAAAGAATGATAAAGATTTTCTCGGAAGCAAGATAAACGTTGAAGAGAGAAAGCATGAAAGAAAGATTGACGATCAATTCATTGAAAGTTAATGTTTGTGAAGTAAACTAGTAAAGTAGAGATTGTCAAAACGCAAACGTATTTAGTAAATAGAAAGAACGGTTTTGCTGAAATATTTAAAAATGTGATTACAGATCTGAAAATAGTTTTGTTGCGCATCAAAATTATGTAGGACGCATAATGATATTGGAAAAATTTCTTATATACTCATAGAGAAAACAGTTTTGCTGTCAAATTTAAAAATTTAGCCAGATATAGATCTGAAAGTAATTTTGTTGGACCAGAATTTATAATATAGGACATTTTATAATATAGGACACAACTATGATAATAATACTGTAAAAAAATTGTCTGGCAGTCAATTTGAACGTACATAATAATTTTGAAGGCAGCAAAATTATTTTCAGATTCAAATGTTTAGATTTATCAGCAAAATTGTTCTTTCCGTCTAAATCTTTGTTGATTATTTTTTACATAAATACTACAATGTGACTTTTACAAGTGTTGTTAGTAGTTGTTAATTACAGTTGTTAATTTTTTATGGACTTTTTACTTTCATATATTTTCAGCAAACATACAATGTGTTGGTATATAATTATATCTCTTTCTCAATGATTCACAGTTTAGGAAAATATGAGGGTCTGCGCATAATGAAGGAAAAATATTAAAAACAACAAATAAATATTAAATTTTAGAAATAAAAATTAGGAATTAAATGTAACGCACAATAAATAGCTATAGCTAATTATATTTATTCGTGTTCATTATGCGTTATGTTTAATCTTTATTTCTCTAATGTTTATTTTCAAAATTCAATATTTATTCCTTGCGCGAAAGAGACATGAAAAATATCTGTTTCAGCAGAGAGGAGCACCCGGAGTGCGCTTTTGGCTGCGAGAGAGATCGCGTCGTCGCCGAGTAATTACATGGCGCACGAAAAGCTGTCGTACGCATTCAGCGTATGGAGGATGGAAGGCGATTGGAACTCCAGCACGGACTAGGATATAACGTTAGGATAAAATTACATTTAAATTTAATAAGGTAAGATGGCGAGAGACTACAAACAGACTCGTAATCTAATTCGAGAGTATTTTGCTCGAAAGAAAAGATGTACACATACGCACATATACATATGTACTTTAAAAGTTATAATTATACATAACATTTGATACAAAGATTGTAAAATGCGTATGTGCGTGCGTGCGTGCGTGCGTGCGTGCGTGCGTGCGTGCGTGCGTGCGTGCGTGCGTGCGTGCGTGCGTGCGTGCGTGCGTGCGTGCGTGCGTGCGTGCGTGCGTG